TGCTTCAGCGTGTTTTTATCAAGTCCTTGATCCAGCCTTATTCATGTCAGGATCAATAGTGTTCACGGACTTAAAGACCAGAGCTGCAAAAGGAGAGGGAATTGCACAGTGTCAGTGAAAAATCAAAGTTAAGTCCTCACAAATGACTGCTTAAAATACCTGACCTTTACCTGCTCCTCTTCTTTGCTTTAAATCCCTTACTGTCGGTGTAGGGATAGTGGTGGATCTTCCATATTTTGTTAAATTATGTACTACATTGAATTACACGGGCACGGGGATGACAGTATATCCGTGTTGTCCTCTTCTTTCGCTTTTCTGCCCGCTGCTGTTGAGCAAAATAACTGTTTTGAAATGTTTGTTCTGCATGTGGCTCCGCAGGGAAATATACACAGTGTGTAAAAGAGAAGAGAGAGCGTGCTGCCAGAATGGCTAACTCGCTATTTTACTGTAAGTCTTCTAATATTGATTGCTTTCATAAAGCCCCATCTCCTGGAGTCATGTGATTATGTGAGAATCTCAGCTTTTTTTAAATTGTTTTTAGCCTTCATGCTTGTAGAGAAAAACTTGAAAATGTGAACCCAAAAGGCTCCAAATCCAGAAGGCAAATAAAAAGACCCCAAATGCATTACTTAAAAAAACAACAACACATGATTTTTAAGCCAGTCTCATGATTTCCTGGGGGGCTGACACATTATTTTTGAGCACGTGGGACGTGGCAAGGCTGGAAAGGAAGCAGCTCGAAGAGCGATGGAGTGAAAATAGGAAAAAGTTAAGGACCAAAGAAGCAATGCTCCGAGAGCAACAGCAGCTGTGGAAAGAACGATGTCAGAAATGGGAGAAACAGCTGCAGAAAAGGCACCCGCGACAGCATGTCATCCCAGTACGGCTTAAACCAACAATTAAGAATCCAGGCTCATGACGTTCCTGGGCGGTTTATCTCTTTCTCGTTATTGTATTGCAGCCTGGGCAAACAAACTGTGCTGCTCTTGATAATGAAAGAGGTGACGTTACTAATTTATTTACCAAAGGAAATGTAGGATGTAATAGAATGGAATTAATCTCTTCTCCACCTTACTCATCAGATGGCGGCCGCACCAGGCAGTGGGTGTGCTTTTAGCCTCGAGCTTGTTGCTAACTGGTAGTTTAGCGGGCTAGCTTAGTTCACTGCAGTGTGAAGATAAATTAGGCAGTCCTAAGACTATAGATTTAAGAGCCTAACTGCAGGCGTCCAGCTGCCCTTGGAAATAGGATTTGCTAATAGTTTAAGTGCTAACACAATCTGAACTTGAGTGACATTCACCCACTGTCACCCTCTCAGGAGCAGCTGGATAGGGAAGGCCTGGAGAACGGGGGTTGGGGGGTGTCACAAAATCAATGGAGTCAGCATGTTGTCTCCATGAATGAACCTGGGGAACTCTTGCACAATAAGTAACACGTTCTGATTGAGAGGCAAGTCCGCTGATGTAAACAAGGAGAACACAGGGTCAGGGCTAAATGAAGTTGGAATAGGAAAGCAATCTATTACTGCCCTGTCATTCTCCCACTGAGGGATAAGGGGAACAGATCTCCGTAGGTGCTGTTTTACAGCAGTTCACGCTCTGACGGGAGGATCTACACTGCAGAATGCATACAACTGCAGGGCAGCTGGTTCTGTGCTTACCGAGATACGAGAGTAGCTGCTTTCTTGAGGGGAGACCTGGGGAGGGAGGTCGATTTGTGGAAACCAAAACAGTTCCGGAGAAAGGCTCAGTTTCGAGTCATCTCCTGATTAGAAAAATGTTTGGGGGCGGGGGGGAAAGTTTCTAATCGTCCAAACATCCTGAATTGACGTTTTCAAACCAAAGTTTCATTTTTCAATTTTAAATGACTTTTCATTGTGAAATTTAATTAATGTATACTAAAAAAGGTAAAAAATCCAAATGGAAGCAAAACGTTGAAAAGACGTTTTAATCGACCTGATCGGAATTTTGTTTCCAAACGATCAGTTCATGTAAATGTTTGAGATTTCAACTTTTCATCTTGGGTCCGAATGGGGGGGAAAAAAATCAAAATCTCAACCTTTCATGGGATGGGAAAATCATGCCCTCCCTAGCTCTACTTGAGAGCACGTGAGGCACCTCACTTTCTTTTCTTGCTACTTGCCCGGTTAACAAATCAATGTCTGATGAGCTAATTTGTGATGTTAACACAAGAGTTTGTGCGGTATTCTTTGGCTGCAGCCGCATTGTTTAATGTATTTACGGTACCAACTGGTTTTCTTGGTCAGCATATGAAATACAAACTGAGCTCTGATCTCAGACTCCGGTTCCATGGACTTTGGTCCTCTGCAGAGGTGCAGGGGAATTGGGTTGCAGAATCAGGGCTTCAGGTTGTATGCTGATGTGAGGAAAACCCTCACTCAGTGGCCACTTCAGACACTGGGGAGTTGATGTATATGCAGTTGCATCAGAGAAGTGGAGATGCCCCACCTTTTAGTCTGCAGTGGTACTATAGAGTTTTACTGCTGATCATGCTACAGAAATTTCTATCACCAGAGGCTGACAGATTCAAAGAACCAGCACATGTACCAGTTCTTTTCACCTGTCATAAACTCTTCTAGTCTATGTAATTTGCTTTTCTCTCTCGATCTTTTACGAAATAATTTTTTCAAGTATTCAACCCAGTCCAAACTGCTGCAGTCAGTCTGTCACACATGAAACCCATTATCTCTCCAGATGCATTGTCTTTAGCTGGTGTCTTCTTGCGTTGGTGGACAGGTCTGCATTGTCAAACAAGTCAAGCTTATGACCGCCTGGAACCCAAGCAGTCAGAGAGCAGCAGATGCTGTTCTGTGGTTTTCATCTCTAGTTATTTCCAGGGCCGCGCGGGGGAGGGCAAGTGGGGCAATATGCCCCAGGCCCTGCAGGGGCCCCCATGAGAATATAGTATTCTATAGTATTGCAACTTTTTTTATGGAAGGGGCCCCCGAAATTGCTTTGCCCCAGGCCCCCTGAATCCTCTGGGCGGCCCTGGTTATTTCTGGCCACATTTTCCATACCATAATTCTGTCCCATAGGCAGCAATAGGCTAAAATTAGGCCTTGTGGCTCTGTGGTTCCTAAGATTGGCTGTAGAATAGTTTTAAGTTGAAACTTTCCATTGTCACATCCCCGCAAAGTTAGCATGTAATCTGTACTAGTTGCAAAATCTGCAGGCAGATTATTAGCAACACAGTGACTAAATGAGTCAGATAACTCATTGGTTTGTCATGAGTCTTGCACTATTTGGTGCTGTACTGAAAGTCCCACCTCCTGGAGTCTAGTGATTATATGCCAATTTCTGCTTATTTTTTATTTGTAAATAAATGAAAGTTTCTGTCCCTAATGGCTGTAGGGGATTGCTTAAAAGCATGAATCCTAAAGGCTCTCAAACCAGAAGACTAGTAAACAGAACCTGAAATGTTTTTGTTTTTTTTTAAATCTCAGGATTTTTAAGCCAGTCTCATGTTTTATTTGGAGCCTGACTTGTGATTGTTGAATGCTTCAGATTGACAATACTGTAATGTCCATTGTGTGAGCCAGGGTGGATGCCGGGGGCCCTTCCCCCTCTGCTGCTCTGATCCCATATAAAATAGAGCAGTTCTGGTGTAAACGCCTAAGAGCGCAAGCTGTAGGTGTGCTTTCCAGGGGTGTTCATGTGAGTAACAAGCGAGCCCAGCCACAATGAATCCATTTCTTCAATCGGAGTGAATGTTTGTGGGGAAACTCTGCGGTGTGCCCTCAGCTCTGGTAACAAGCCCGTTGGCTCATGCATGCCCTCGTCTGGCCAGGGCTCTCCAGAGCATCCCGAAGAGAGAAATCCACCCTTTTCCTCTCCGATCCCACTCAAACTCTGCTTTGAGGGCATAAGTGAACTTTCAGGGAAGCACAGTCCTTCCACACACAGGTGAAGCGATCAAAGGGGGCATACGGTCTCATGGGTAGTGGCTACCGATTGTGACAGGAAAACAAAATGATCTTTTTAAAGGGGTTGACAACCAGAAATATTTAGTTCTTCTTTAACTCTGCCCTGATATCTGTATCTTATTTTGCTCTGACTTTCAAAAAGAAAGTGCTGAGGAACTTCTGAAGCACCACGGCTGATAACACAGAATATTTAACCTGTCAGTTTGGAATTCTGCCAGGAAAAGCTTCCAGCTCAGGGTTTTGACAGGTGATTGCTCTCTCTGCATTGCCTTCGATCCCACGAGGCTGGTACCCTTACAAGAGCACTCTGTGATCTTTACAATTCTCTTTTATGAGCTTGTTTCAATCTTGGAGCAAAACATATTTGCAAGATTGGAGCGCTGTCCAGATGAACTAGTTTAAAAAAATCTAGCCTCAAAGGGCCAGATCCTCCGCATACACCTCTGTTGGCTTTAACACTGAGTTACACCAGCTGAGGGTCTGGCCCAGAAAGGTCAGTAAAACCACCTTGCTCTTGGAAAACAGAACTTTATATTTCTGACCAGGAACTTCTGTAGAGGCACAAAACGCACAATCCTTCGACTTTTCCCTTCAAGCCCATTCAGAAAAAGCCTTTGTTACTATGTGAGAACCAGGAATAGACTGAGTCCAATCTCCACAGTGGAAGAAATTGGTTGACATACTCGAGTTATTCTGCTCCAAGTTCTTTTGCTTTACAAGTTGCCCCCACAAATTCCTCTGGGGTAATGCAATGGGTAACATTTTCAAAAAGACGTAAGTGACTTGGGAGCCTACATCTGATTTTCACAAGTGTGACATAGGCCCAGATTTTTAAAGGTATTTAGGCACCTAACTCCTTATTGACTCCCAAGTCACTTCGTAAATGTGACTCTGTCTCCCAAGTCACTAAGGCGCTTTTGAAAATTTTACCCTGTATCTTTATTATGCTATTTTTAAAAAAGTATTCGTGTGGTGGAAAGTACATCTCTTAGCCTTTTGTTTCTAACGTGTTGCATGTTGCATATTAGCTCATCATGCTTTTGTGTTGCTTTTTCAGATTAGCAAATTCTGTGGCCATTCTCAACAGAGACAGTATAGATCAGCTCATGACCCCGAAGACCTTTTCATTGACAAGAAAGTACGGAAGGTGGCTCACACAGAACACGAGGAAACCCTGTCCAGTCGGAGAAGGTGAGACTGTTTTGACTCTGAGTATACATGGCTGCTGTGTTTATGAGTCAGGAAACTATTCTGATGTAAAACTCTGAAATATACCCATGTGGGTGAGGGTTACATGTTTTCACGGCAATTGTATAAATGTCAATGTGTTTTTCTTTTAAGCATAAAACTGTCTCCTGATTCCCATCTTTGATATTCCAGGGGGCTGTATGAAACGCTGTTTTTAAAGGTTGCCAAGGCAGGTGTTAACCTTAGCCTGAAGCATGGCACACAAGGTTTCCAACCTTGTAGTACGGAGGGATTTTTTTTTTTACCCAACACCTTTAAAACATCAAGGAATGTTCACAGCCGTTTCTAAGCATTTGAAAATCAGAGCAGACGTCTGTGTTCATGGCATGGCACCCGGCACTTGTTCCAGCTAGGTTTAACTCAGTAAACAGAAGCCGTAATTTAGTGGGATCGTATTGGTATGAAGGGGAAAAACTCTTTTCCCTCTCATTGATTTTTTAAAGCAGACTAGGCACGTGCGTGCACGCTTAGTTATTTAACAGCTGCAGAAATGAAATGAGAACATTTGATTTTTTTTGTAAACGTGGAAACGCTCGAAGATGACATGGACAAAGTCACCTGTAAATATTTACGGGGCCAAATTCTCATTGTGCTTTCAGTCGGGCCGCACTAGGGTGGCGTGAGAGGAGGCTGCTTGTAAGTGTGTTATAAGCATCTCTGTTCCTCCATTATCTTCCCGTGTCGTCAGACTGCAGAGGCTCTGGAAGTGATGCATTATTGTCATTTGAAGAGTATGGGATTTGGTGAAACCCACTGCAACGTACTTAGGGCTTTAAGAGAGCCTGTACATACTGACATTGGAAGTGTTTCTCTCCTCCACTTTGCCACTGATGTTTCCCATCCTCCAGCTGTGAGGAGAGGATCACCTGCAGCTTCAGCCGACAGAAAACATTATTCCTTCCAGTGCTCTTCCTGCTGGATCTGATACCTAACGCTCCCTCGGTCTACAATAACATGATGGGAGCTGCTTTCAGGACAGGACCTCGTAGGAAATTGATGGCTACAAGATGAGAAATCGTCCTGGTTACACAAGAGGGGAAATGAAAAGGAAGGAGGGATGAAAGATTCTGAACAAATGATCAAACAATCTGTCTGTAAGCACCTAGAGGATAATCAGGTGATAAGGAATAGCCAACATGGATCTGTCAAGAACAAATCATGTCAGACCAATCTAATTCCTTCTTTGACAGGGTTACTGGCCTAGTGGGTGCGGGGAAGCAGTAGATGTGATATATCTTGATTTTAGTAAGGCTTTTGACACAGTCCCATGAGACAGTCTCACAAGCAACCTAGGTAAATGAAGTCTAGATGAAATTATTATAAGGTCAGTGCACAACTGATTGAAAACCGTACTCAAAGAATAATTATCAATGGTTCGCTGTCAATCCGGAAGGATGTAAGTAGTGGGGTCCTGCAGGGATCTCTCTTGGGTCCAGCACTATTCAATATTTTAATTAATGACTTGGATAATGGAGTGGAGAGTATGCTTATAAAATTTCCAGATTACACCAAACTGGGAGGGATTGTAAACACTTTGGAGGACAGAATTAGGATTCAAAACAACCTTGACAAATTGGAGAATTGGTCTGAAATCAACAAGATGAAATTCAATAAAGACTAGTGCAATGTACATCACTTAGGAAGGAAAAATCAAATGAACAACTACAAAATGTGGAGTAACTGGCTGAGCAGTTACAGAAAAGAATTGGGGATTATAGCGGATTTCAAATTGAATATGAGACAACAATGTGAGGCAATGGTGAAGAAGGCTAATATAATTCTGGGGTGTATTAAAACGAGCATCATATATAAGACCTGGGAGGTCATTGTCCCACCCTGCTCAGTACTGGGGACGCCTTGGCTGGAGTATTGTGTCCAGTTCTGGGTGCCATGATTTATGAAACATGTGAACAAATTAGTGAGAGTCATATAATTTAAAGCCAGAAAGAACCACCAGATGATCTCGTTAGACCTTCTGCATAACAGCCAGCATAGAACAAAGTATTCCCTCCCCCAGGACATATGACTATTATGTGCCAAAGAAGAGCAACAAATCTGATAAAAGTTTTAGCAAACCTGACCTGTGAGGCATGTTTAGTTTTGAGAAAAGAAAACCGAGAAGAAATGTGAGAAGTGTCGTCAAACATGCTAACGGCTGTTATAAAGAGGGTGGTGATCAATTGTTCTCCATATCCACTGAAGGTAGTATGAGAATTATGGGTTTAATCCAGGAGCGCTGGAAGCTCCCTAGAAGTGGGGGGGGGGGCCACTGATGCCTAAACTATGTCCCCGCCCCCTATTCCACTCCTTCCCCTTGAGCCCCACCCCCCTCTCACTCTTCTCCACCCCATCCCCTGTTGCTCACCCTTAAGGCAGGTAAAATGTGATGGAGTCACATGGCCCCCCTGTTCCAGTGTCCCTTGCTTAATCTGCAGGAAGGGAGATATAGAATAGATATCAGGGGAAAGCTTTTTGGCTATAAGGGTATTTTGGTTCTGGAATAGGCTTCCAAGGGTGTCAGGGATGGTCTAGGTTTACTTGGTCCTGTCTCCGCACAAGAGGCTGGCCTAGATGAAATTTTGAGGTCCCTTCCAGGCTTACATTTCTATGGTTCTGTGAAACTGAATAGTGTGGGAAACAAGTAAAAAAAAAGGGGGCGATGGAAAAGGAGAAAAGAATGAGGGAAACCCAAGTAGGTAAGAAAATGCATCCCGCTGGAAGTGGTGCAAGTCTTTGGTCCGTCTCTGTCTCCAGAACGGTAAGTCTAGGTCTAGGGAAGTAACAGAGACTAAACCACCTGACCAGAGTTAGAAAAATTGGGGGGTGGGGAGGGAGAAAGGAACGAAATGAAAACTGGGGAAAGTCGAGTAGAATCAATGGGGAAGCAGGGTTGGCATGGGGGTTAGATGCACTGTAGTGCCCTGCACCTTGCCATGGACCTTGGGCGAAGGTTTCCGAAGTAACTAGTGATTTATGTCCCTCAATTTTTTGGGTTCCCACCTTCAGGCACCTTAAATGGGTCTTGTATTCGGAGGGTGAGTGCTCCGCATCAGTCGTGCCATAGGGAGCTATGTAGGTGCAATGTAAGGTGGGGGCTGTCCTTCTCAAGGGGCAGCAATTCAGCACAGAAACGCCATGAGAAGAACCTTGACTTATTTTGGGCTCCCGGATGGCCCCATGAAGAAAATAAAGCCCCCCAAGAAATGCATTCAGAACAAATGGCGAACACAAAATTCTCTCGTGCCTGCCGAGAGTGAAGACATAAATCATCCCATGTATTTTTGCAGGGAAAGATGCTCAGGCTGTGTGACGTGTTTTTAATGACATTAGCAAGGCTTTTCTCTTTAACTAAAGCTTGTTCATTGGTGGAGATGAGGAGATAAATAGCACTGACATCTTTCAATAGCCAGAAAAGCTGCATTACGTTACTCCTCATCAATACTGTAGGGGAAGAAAAGGAATCATCTTCCGCTCTATCTCTGTTAGCTATAGAGGCTATGTGCACAGGCTGTGTGAATCTGATTAGGAGTGAAAAGCTGTATGCCTTATTAAAAATAAAGAAATAAAAAATTAAGGCTCTCTTTGATGGCATCCAGACATTTTTCTCTTTGTTTTGTCTGCCCCCAGCTGGGTGGTTTGTAGCTCACAGCTAATCTCTGTAACAGCTTACTTCAGTCTGAAGTGGATTCACTGCTTTTCAAATAAGGAGTGGTACGTGCCAAAAGGCAGACGGTACCAGTCCAGGGACGATTGATGTTGCACGAGTGCCCGCAGGCTCCAGGCAGGTTCAGAGGCACTTGGTGCCGTACAGACACGCACAAGAAGATAATCCCTGCTCCCAGGTCGACGACATGCTTACAGATCAGGAGCCAGCCAAAATACAAGGAGGAGGAGAAGGGTCGGAGGAAGGGCACCATCTGGTCTGATGCACACGCCTTGTGGTTCAACAGTATTGATGTAAGGGATCGAGCAAATCTCAGCATCCCCCCTTCCTTATGGAGCTTAGATCTCCACCCCCTCACCCGGCCCTTTAAAAGAGCGCTCCTGCAACCCCAAACCCCATTGCTTTATAGGCTACGCCCTGGTTGTATTTCATGCATTTTGCCTTGATTTGTTTTAGTTATTTTCCATTTGTTTTCTTTCACCCCTCTCCCCCTCCCCCCTGAGTTAAACACACTCACTGCTCGGCCCTGTTCTCCTGCCATCCTGCAACGCCCCCTCCGTC